TTTTCTAACTAAGTGTGGACAGTGTGGACTGTGGACTTTTCAAACTAACTGTGGACGGTGTGGACTGTTCTATCTAAGTGTGGACAGTGTGGACTGTGGACTTTTTTAACTAAATGTGGACAGTGTGGACTGTGGACTGTTCTATATAAGTGTGGACAGTGTGGACTGTGTGGACTTTTCTAACTAAGTGTGGACAGTGTGGACTTTTTTAACTAAGTGTGGACGGTGTGGACTGTGGACTCTTCTATCTAAGTGTGGACAGTTTGGACAGTGTGGACTGTTCTATCTAAGTGTGGACAGTGTGGATTGTGGACTTTTCTAACTAAGTGTGGACAGTGTGGACTGTGGACTTTTCAAACTAACTGTGGACGGTGTGGACTGTGGACTGTTCTATCTAAGTGTGGACAGTGTGGACTGTGTGGACAGTGTGGACTGTTTTAACTAAGTGTGGACAGTGTGGACTGTGGACTTTTCTAACTAAGTGTGGACAGTGTGGACTGTGGACTTTTCAAACTAACTGTGGACAGTGTGGACTGTTCTATCTAAGTGTGGACAGTGTGGACTGTTCTATCTAAGTGTGGACAATGTGGACTGTATTGACTTTTCTAACTAAGTGTGGACAGTGTGGACTGTGGACTGTTCTATCTAAGTGTGGACAGTGTGGACTGTGGACTTTTCTAACTAAGTGTGGACAGTGTGGACTTTTTTAACTAAGTGTGGACGGTGTGGACTGTGGACTCTTCTATCTAAGTGTGGACAGTGTGGTCTGTGGACTGTTCTATCTAAGTGTGGACAGTGTGGACTGTGGACTTTTCTAACTAAGTGTGGACAGTGTGGACTTTTTTAACTAATTTAACTAAGTGTGGACGGTGTGGACTGTGGGCTCTTCTATCTAAGTGTGGACAGTGTGGACAGTGTGGACTTTTCATACTAACTGTGGACGGTGTCGACTGTGGACTGTTCTAACTAAGTGTGGACAGTGTGGACTGTGGACTTTTCAAACTAACTGTGGACGGTGTGGACTGTGGACTGTTCTATATAAGTGTGGACAGTGTGGACTGTGTGGACTTTTCTAACTAAGTGTGGACAGTGTGGGCTGTGTGGACAGTGTGGACTCTTCTATCTAAGTGTGGATAGTGTGGACTGTGGACTTTTCTAACTAAGTGTGGACATGCAGTGTGGACTGTGGACTTGTATAACTAAGTGTGGGCAATGAGGACTATGGCATAGCAAATGGTGTTTAAATTGGAAAATTATTGAAACATGCACGTTTGGTAAAGCTGTCGGTAATTAAACTGACACTGATGACGTAGTCTGTGCTCTGCTACCCAAGGAAGCAGCCCATATATCCGTGTTCTGCCCGACGGATTTCTTTTGAAAGCGATTGTTTTTACGGTATGAATATATGAATATAGACCCCTCCCCCAATTATCGCGTCTAGGAACGACCCAGCTAATAGCTGTTTTGCGAAATTGAGAGCAATTTCAAATCTGTTCAGTTTTTCTTGACACACCGCATGTAGTGTTAGCGAGTGTTTTTTGAACGTTCTCTTAATTAATGACAAAGTGAACTGTTGGGATATTGAAGGGCGACTAAATGTCTTCGGCTGTTTTCAAATGAAGAAGGGAACATATAAGCGTTTTATATAGAATTTACATTAGAATAGAATAGAATAGAACAGTCGTTTCAGGTTTTCTTTCTACCGTGCACACAAAACTGTGCTTACTATACGCGCGACCATAATTTCCCGCTTGTCAGAAACTAAGTGAAAATCTATTGTAAGCTGGGAGGTTGCACATGCGATAAAATGTTCTCTATATTAAATTGATTATAGAAACTTTACTATGGAAAGGAGCGGAATTTTATGATGAATTGAATGGCGTTCACGTATTTTCCAGCTGCCGCGCATACAAAGTTCTCCAAAAGGATAAGTGTTTCCTGAAAATATCTAAATTGAATAATATGCATTTTATCATAATGCTAGTCATTTGAAGCCCCGGACCCCCGGGACTATGCGGGGATTTCAACATTTCACGAACGTTAAAACCCAGTTCAAAAAATTAAAATACCGTTCATTTGTTAAAAGACTTAAAACCCGGCTCCCCGGGGCGAAATTGAAGGTTTTATGTTCAATTTCCTCTGATTTTCACAGTAGAAAGTCAAAGACAAACCGATGAAGTCAAACCAGAATGAAAATTGAAATTGTTAACATATTTGTTATTAGCATGACAAAATTACTGGATGCTGATTGGTTGAGAGGAGTACAATTATTTCATTAATTGTACTGCAGTACAATTAATGATTTTCCCAAAACAAACAAAATGGCGGAAAGGTATTTTAAACACTACATGTGAAATGAAATTGCCGTGGAGGAACTAGATGAAAATACGAACAAAAGCACCAAACTTTGCTTGCACAAAAGAACTAAATGAAAATACAAACAAAAGCACTAAATTTTGGTTGAAAGTCTGGCACGACTGGGCTTTGGCGAGAGAATATGATGTTGACATTGAGAAGTATCCAATTTTGTCATGCTAATAATAAACAAGTATTCATGCGATGTTGTTCGTACAATTAGGGATTAATAGTACTCGTGATGTTTGGAAATTTCCCAAATTGGACTCGCCCCGGCAGCTCGTCCAATTTTGGCAAAATTTCCAAACATCACTCGTACTATTAATCCCTGATTGTACGAACAACATCGCATGATTACCTATACTTACACGAGACCGGTACAAAAATTATTAAATTTTCAATTTATTCTCCTTGCCATGCAATCTTATTTTTAGAAGGCTTTTAATTTGTTAGCATGGTTGTTCCAATATCAAACTTACAGCCGAAACCGGTCTGAAGTGTATTTGTGTTTTCATCCCACTGTGAATTCATACCGGTCTGAAGTCAGTCGGCTCGGTCCAGCAGGCCGCATGACTTGAGACAGGGTTGAGTTATTTTCGTCCCAGTCTCATGTAAACATCTATTATAAACTAGAAATACATGCATGCAATAACCCCTCGCCTGTTTTCAAAAGATATATACTCAGTGCCGTTGCGAGCACTTCGTCGCAGGGGGGTGGGGTTAGATAGAGGGGGGGGGGTGTTACCAAAAAGTTTCCAGATGTACAAAAAATTTTCAGGACATATAATAATTTTTCCGAAATTTAATACAGTTGTTTTCCAAATTCACTTTCTCAGTCATGTCCTGAGAATTACCTGAATTCCCCTGAAAATCTTCTGCAAATCTACTTAAATGTAGGTACTAAAAGTGCACTGGAAATCTACCTGAAATTCATCATGAGCAATAATCAGGGGTGTTGCACCCCCCCCCCCCCCCCCCAGTGAGTTCCAAGCAAACACTCTCTGATTTATTGTTCGTGTATTTCGATCACCTCCCAAAATATTGTGCATCATACTATAGAGCATTTTGCTGTTGTCATGCTCTAGCATGGTTCAAATTTATGAATTTTTATTATACAAAGTATAGTGTTTTACAGAGTTTCGAGCACTGACAAAAATGATAATCTCAGATGTGAAATTATTCATGATAATCTCACATGTAAAAATTTATCGCCTTTTCAATTATCGCTTTTCTGTAAACATTATCGCTTTTCATTTAAGACTGTCCTTTATATAATAATTAACAGAAAAATACATGGGTGGTTGGAAATACCAGATTTATTTTTTGTGTTGAACATGACATCTCACTCGTTCGCTGCGCTCACTTGTTCGCTGCACACTAATGTTCAACACTCGAAATAAATCTGGTATTTCGTGCACCCATATATTATTCTCTATTTAAACTACAGCTAGACTGGTTTAAATTATTATCAATTTATCAGTGATTGTAAAAGTTGGAGATAGAAGTGTTTTGTTTTATAAAATTATCAAGTTGTCGGTGATCGCAAAACCTCCAAATCCTTAATTTCAAATGTTAGAATGTTAGGGTTAGAATGTTAGGGTTTGTAATATATACATTT